ATTGCCTTACACAGCGCTGCACACTCACCCAAACTTTAGCCAGACAGCTCGGTTAGTATAAGAAAGCAACCACGTCAACGACGCAGGTCATAGTGCACCTTCTGCAGTGGCCAGAACCAAGCAAAGGATGGTGGTAGCGTAGATCGCGCTCTGGAAAGTGCAGACAGAAAAGCAGAACTCGAACGGGTGATCAGCGTTTTCGTTTCCGGCTGTTAGGCCAACGACGGCCACGCTAAATTCTGTAAACAAATACAGCCGCCCCCTTGTAGAGGGCGGGCATGCACTTGTGTCCCAAACGGTCGCGCACCTAAAACATCCAGCTTGGAGTACAACTGAACATCCCCATCAGATGTGTAAAATTGTTGGATAGAAAGATTAGCGAATAGACTACGGCATCGTGATTTCACAATGCCGGAAATAGTCTGCAGTCACTAGTGTGGGTCCTATTCAACAGCATAGCATGTACTAGTCTGGCCGGTTTTCAGTTAATTTTGCACGACTTTTCATTATTTATGAGGCTGAACACTGCGAGGCTTCCGAAAAATAATTGCTAACATAGCGACGAGAGTGTAGAGTAAGTGACTTGTTGTGGAGGTGAGAGATGAACTGGTTTAGGGAACTTACTCCTTCGACAAGCACCAAGTTGACTCGACCAATCTGAGCTTCGTTGAATCGAAGACTAGCTCGACGTCCGGCGAGTTTCAATTCCACGTGACGTCGTTGCTTCACATCGGGAGGTACGTCGTCAACCAAGCGGTGGTATGCGCGAGTTTTCTGGTGGAGAGGGAAAAAACAGGATAAGGCGTTAGCATGAACTAGAAATTCACTAAAAGGCACTAAGCGCCTGTGATTGCGGTGCCTTCTTCAGTTTACAGTCCAGTGGGTATGACGAGGTGACATATGATGATGGGTGTGCCTAAGATGCACATACCTATATGAGTAGCTAGTCTCAGTAAAAGCATGCCTCAGCTCGTGAACAAAGAGGATTGGGTGACATACACAATTCTGAAGACAGGTATGCCAACGAATGGGAAACGAATAAACGGATCGCTGAGGAATGATCAAGTCATGGCGCATAAGACACACTGCCCGATGACACTGTCCCGGAAATTGCCGACTACTATGCCCAAGGTTGAATGAAGGGTATGTCAAATGAAGGAGAGAAGCTCAGAAGGCCAGCGTTGCGTCGATCGCAGCCTTAATCACAAACAGCACGTGCTGTGAGAATAGAATGAAGCGAAACGAAGCGTAAAGAATTTCAGAAGGGCGCTGACGTCGAGAAACCGAAGTTCTCTATATAATTTCACGTGTGACGCTATGCTAGCATCGATATAAGTATGTCCGTAAGCTGATCAGTGATTCCAAGGGTGATTGAGGTAAATGGGATACGTGTGGTGATCATTCCGGTACTTGTCAGTTACTTAAACACGAGATTGGGTGGAAGTATATCAACGCTGTCTGGTCGCCGAATCCGAAGATACTTGCACTTAAACCTTCGGATGAAACAATCAGCTCGAAAATACAGCGGAATAAATGTAACATTTGTTTGGGAGATCTCATTCAGAGCCTCAGGCGCGTTGTTCATCACCACCAATGCAATAACAAGTCTGTTCTGTCGGGGAATGCGCGAATGCAGAGTTCACTCCGTACCCACCCGGGGTTTTGTCTCACGGGGCGCGCATCGAGGAGACAATTGCCACCATAACTAGTCGCGCACAAATCTCAACGGATTCATAGTGACAGCAAATAACCCGAGAGAAACGGACGTGTTGATCCATATCGATTGCTAACTTGTAGAGTGCGAGCATTCTGCAAAACGAGGCTGCCACACCACCCCAACGGTGTGTACCGAGAGAATCGGCCGGCATGCGAGGCAGCCGAGGAATGAATTCCCCCATGCCATGTCTGCTCTTCTCAAGTTAAGGAAACTCAAAGCAGATATTATACACAAAATTGGGTGTGTTTTCGGCATTTCCAGCACTAATAAATAAATAAATGAATACATTTATTCTCGATGGAGCGAGACACACGCAAAAGGCATGATCAAGTAGGAGCACAGTGTAGCAATAGATCGATCACAGCTTGATCGAAAAATACCTTGTTTCTCAAGGTATCCAGTAAGTTTGCAATGTAGGTGGATTGCAGGTGGAAAATGCTTAGGGGATTACGCTTGTTAGAGTTGTACAATACTTCTGGAACAGGAGTCGAAATAGATTTCCATGATAAACGGGACCGCTATGTTCGCGGACGGCGGGAATTTGAATACGTTCTCCAAAAGATCAGAGATCTGAACACACTTGTTAGCTGGGTTGGAGTTTAATCCAAAAGTCTTACTCCAAGAGCTCGTACAGGAATGTGAACGTATGTTGGCACTGAAGTATGACGCAGAAATGATCCAACCGGACAGCGGGTATTGTGTAGCGGATGTTCATACTATCCATACACGCCCCGGGCCATTGTACAATTCAGTACATCTCTAGGAATTCGCATGCCTAGGCCGCCCACTTAGCACTTGTTGACATTGGGATCAGGTGGAATTCGCATGATTTTGATTTCAGACGGAAATAAGGGACACAAGGAAACCAGATGTTTTCAGAGAACCTCTGGAAGACAGTCACGAAACTTAACAAAAACTTAACCAAAACCTCTAGTTTTCAACGTTCCCTTACAAATGTGGTGTTTGCAATCACTTGCTCGAACTATCAGTCACTGCGGAAGTATGCTACGATTATGGCAAATGTTGTCTCTGTCCGACTTCTATTGGACACGGCTTCCGACGTCATGAGCTATCCGGGGCTAGATGACATCGCCCCAGCTTCATAAGGCTCGGTGGAAAAGTAACTTTGTTATTAGTAAACATCTTCACTTTCGGCAACTACCGGTTGCTTCCCATCTCAATGGAAGAAATTCATCACAATGCAAAAAGGGGGTCTGTGGAATGAAATGCTATGGAGGACATTTGTGAGGGCATTACCAGTACACAGTATGCCCTTCTCATACTTAGGTACAAAGAAAGCCCCTTCTGTACAGTTACGGTCTGAAACTCATCCATCCAGAAGGCGTTCAGATATTTATCTAAAGGCGTCTGACTGTATCAAACCGCTGACAAAACTATCCTCGACTGCTCCACGGGGATTAGTGCATCGAAAGGTACACCCATAACAGGAAGCAAAATATCTATCCACTAGTGATAACAGCAGTCATCCTCGAAAGCTTTTTATTCCTAGAAACAGCTCTAATACGGTCAGGGCGAAACCAAACAATCAAACCATGACTAAAAATGACAACAATCCCATGTTATCTGTAAAACATAAACCCCTAACCTCTCAGAATACGCTTGTGGACTCATCGGTTACTAGGCCCGTAACTTCTGCTACGACAATAAATAGTACTCTTTCTTGTCCTCCTTCTTGCCCCCACCTCCTTTGAGTAACTCCGTAATATTCCCATATGTTCAACTTTCCCAAACTACTCCATTTTTGGAATTACTCCACCCATTCTGCCTCCCCTTTACTATCAATGACTGCCGTAAATCTCACTGAAAGAGTTATTGCGGATAGCTCTGCAGCTAAAATATAGGCTCAAATTGTAATGAGTATTGTGGCTCAAACCTGAGTCTGAGTCAGAATGCTTACCGAATGGTGCTACTTAACATACATTCGCTGTTAAATAAAATTCACTTATGCCGTACCTTTGTGTACCTAAATAAACCTGATCTTGCCTTGCTTAATGAAATCCGGTGCAGCACAAATGTGTCAAGTAAAATGATTTTATTTGACGGATATAAACAGATCAGAAGCGACCGAAAGGCAGGTAGGGGTGGAGGTTGTATTACTTACTACACACAGAACCTACTTATTCCTGAGTACACACTTCCGCTTATCTGTCCATGTCTTGATTCGTCTGGATAATTTTGTTGCTCGGTGGAAACGATCTATTGCAGGTTGCATATATCGCCCAACTGGTACCAGCAAGTAAGAAGAGATACAATTAGTAAATAATTTTAGCAACATTTCTTGACTTAATCTGCCAAATAAGGTCATCTGTTAGCACTTCAACCTGACTGACATATGCTGGTCTAGTTTAGTAACAACCGAGAATCACACAAACTTTTTAACTTTCCTTATACCTGAAGGATAGACTCAGCATATTCTTTCATCTACAAAGGGTAAAAGTGTACTAGACCTAGTTTTTATTCTAGGCGCTATTCCCAATTCTTGACGCATTCATGATGCTTCTTCACCGCGTTGGGCTAAACCAACTTACGCTTAAACTAGGTCTTTTTAAGCTGGATAAATTTCATTCCGCTTTATTTGGTTTGTTATGCCCACCTGAATAATTTTATATTAACTGGCCACTTTGCTTACGGTAATTGCGGTTATCTTCGGTAACTTTGTTACGTTTGTAGCATATTTAAGTAACGTGTGGACATTTATTACTTATCGCGGATTCGTTGCTAACCAACTTATATCACATGCTAATTTAGCGAAGAGTTATGCCACCGTGTCTGTATGCACTATTGGATCCATTTTATTTCATCTTGTCGTTTCAAGTGAATGGCTGTTGTTTGATATCCCCGGTGTGGCTGCGCTTGATGTGTATGTTGACAAGGTGCCTACCTGTCTATTCCTCACTACCTCGTCCATACTGGCTTCAGGAGACAGTTGGTCGTTGCTGGAGGGGACGGGGTGCACGGTCCTTGTGGCCTTGCTGGGTTCAAATAGTGGTTCCATGCACTCAGTGTGGAGCGGACTACGGTCCAGCCACCGCCTTGTGTGCGCTTGATTCCCCAAATACAGCGTGCTTGTGTTAGCCTGTGAAGGAGTGTGGGCCGGCTCCGTTGATGAAAAGTGGCTCCCATCCACATGCCTCACGGTCTTATTTCTTCGGGTTTACACTGGATATGGAGTATGTGGTTGAAGCTGTGGGTGGAGCAGCGCAAGCCATCCACGGTCCCTCTGTAGGCGCAGGCGTCCTTTGGTTGACCACAGTGACAGGCAAATCCGAAACCGGATGCCGGCAACCATTCCCAGTTTCACATAAGTACTACATGGCCTTGCAGGATGCAATCACAGATTAGTTGCCTGCAAAATAGTGGTCGACCCCCCGCACTGGTCCATTCAAAAATACATTCTTTTTTCCATCAAATAGTAAACTGGGACTCATTTTCCATTATACTCTGGTCGAAAAATTGGGAACTTTTCTTTCTTTCCCATGACCTCTAGGATGTATCTTTCTGTTTTACCACAACGTACAATATGGCATGAAATTATTTAGTAGCAACAAAACGAAACATTGTGCTAGATCTTCGGTTAGCTCGACTATTGTTAACAAAAGATAGAAAACAAATGTCAGACTCGCTGGAGCGTATGAAAAAACGCGTGATTTCAGCGTGCTGCTGCGTCTGAAAAGACTTGTAGTTGAAACGGATGTTAGCAAAGTTACACATCTTAGACAAGAAGTGGAACGTATTTTACAGAGCAAAATCAAAGCTGATGAACTAAGTAACTTACTGAAGAACAGAAAAGCCTGACAAACATACCTACCCTCACATATTACCACACCAGACGGCAGTGTTATCGACACGCCTACTGCTATGGCGGATATGCCTTTAGTGCATACTTTGCTGAAGCTTTCAACAACGAAAACGCGACTCTGGTATCTCCAGTCTCATTTGTCACCCCCCCGAAATTATTTCAGTAGTTGACGTCAACATCAGAGTTATTAAAACTTTTGATTAAGTTGCTTCGGTCATCTCATAACCCTGGCACTGA